TCGTGACAGGTCTGCCAAAGCGTTCCGTCAGAGGCTCTAGAAATGATACACTAGGCTCATTCCGTCTGGCGTACTGTATGAAACTTGATGGACCAGGCTCCCCACAAGTTCTGCTCCTGTAATGAGGAATTGACGGCTCTGTCGGGGTAGAGGACAGAGTCGTCGTAGGTATGCATTGGGTCGCCGAATATATGCCAGATCCATTTGATCTGACCCGAAGGGATTCCGGGGAAAAGCAAGCCGGAATATTGACTAGTGGTGTAGGTGACAGACCTAGCGTGAGGGAGACGGGATCCGTCACTGTTGCAGGTGGATCCGTCGATGTTGCGGGTGGATCCGTCGTTGTTGCTGGCGGATCCGTCGCTGGTAGGGAGGATCCGAGATCTAACCTTGTTGCAGCAGTCATTGTGTCACTCCTCCGATTGAGCCTCGAGTTTGAAGCTATCGAGACTACGGATTGTACCTGGGAGCGAAGTATGTCGTTCTCGCGTTGAAGATGGGCCATCTTCTCCTCCATCTCACGCCGGATTTCCTCTCGGACCGTCTCGAGCTGCTCATGGAATTCAATTAACAGCTGATTCGTTCCTGCCATAATTGATTTCTTTCTTGCACGATGCCCCACGGTGGGCGCCAAATTGTTTAGGCAAAAATTATACTAATCTAAACAATCAATTGAGAGGTAGGGAACGTGCAAGATATTAATCCATACTCAATAAGAGAAAAATGAAAATATATGGATTATGGTTGACGTGCAATTATAAATACAACGATGAAAAGTAGTGTGCTCCAGAATGATCGTAGTAGTCTTAGTGCATGGCCACTATCTCTATTTATACAAATTGATTCATCCTATTCTAATGCACAGTCTAACTGCCCGACATGTCCGCCTCCTACTTCGTAGGATTATGGAGTTAGTTGTTTGACCCTATCACCTTGCTCCTCTTTTATTTCTATCTGACCTTTACAATTCTTATCCGCATGCTAAGGAAATTGGGCCATAACGGATATTCCTTCACCAAGTCATGGACGGTAATCTAAGTAATTACTTCAATTATTATTTGGCCCAACAAATATTGTGAACTATTTAATTGTGGGAAAAATGGGAACAATTTAACTTATATGATATGATCAAAAGTTTGAAGTCTTATTAATTATATTTGACTATTATAGATTCTGTCTATTTGTAATTACAAACGGTTGAAATTTTGTCTGGTCTGATTTGATCTATTTACCTCTAAAGTGATCTGATTTTGACTGGTCTATTTAATCAGTCCAATTCAAAATAGACTAATTTTATATTCAATCTACCTTGTAAACCTTTTTGCAAGAAAATTTGTAATGAAGGGGGTACATCATCACCATTATATTCACTTTATAAACTAATAGATGTCTTGGAGTTTGATTGGTGATCTTGTTTGCAAGCTTATCCGTCTTATCAGCAAACGTTTTTACCCAACATATAACTTGTGAATTTGCAAGTTCAGTTTTGTAATAATTAAAAGAAAATTTTCACTTTTGATCCCATGACTATTAGGCCACTTCCACATTTTCCCCTTGACTTTCAATTTAAACACATTTAATCTGTGATATTTTGCCCTTCACCACCCATCATCCTTCCAACCACAACTCCGACACATTTTAAGCGGAAAGCCATTTACGGAGAAATATTAGGGGCATATTAGTAAATGTATGTTGTTAAAATGGCTACCTTCTAAATTAACTTGACTTAATGCGTACATTTTGATAACTTAACTTTAACATTTTGACCTAATATTTCTCCGTAAATGACTTTCCGGTTAAAATGTACCGGAGCTGTGGTCGGAAGGACAACGCATGGTGAAGGGGAAAAGGTCACAGACTAAATGTGGTTAAATTGAAAGTCAGAGCAAAAATGTGGAAGTGACATAATAGTCATGGGACCAAAAATGGAATTTTTTCTAATTAAAATCAGTAAAGTTGAAGCTACTTTTTTGACTGCACTGGTTGAAGTTAATCCAAAGAACTATTTTAGCTATTTTCATATTTTTTCTTTCTTTATTACGTAGTACATTAATAAAAATAAATTTTAAAAATAATTTTTTCATAACTCAGCAAAATCAACTAATCCAACCGGACAGTCACTTTAGCCAGAACTTTATATATTTCAGTAGAATCAGCCGACTCAACTAATTTCAGTTTCACCAAACAGACTCTTAGTAGTAGTGATGCACCAAGTGAACTTGGATTAATTAAATGCTTTCATAGTAGTGGCATTTTTATTAACCAATGAGAGACTAACACATCATTGATTTATAATACAATTTTAAATGAACAAATCTATATTCTATTTGGTACGTAGTATGTATTTACTTGGACTGAAATTTTCTAGTTTGTTTATGTCTGGTCTGTTCCGGTCTGGAATATATTGGTTTGGTCTGATCTTGTAAATGTCTTGTCTCTGTGTATTTTACAAATGTCAAAGTCTGATCTGATCTGGAATAGCCCATTAAAGTGTGGTCTAATATGATATGGTATAGTCTATTAAAGTCTAACTTTTTTTTAATTTGGCCTGGTCTAAAACTGAAATTAATTCAGTGTTAGTCTCCCTCATAAAAGGGCTGATTTTATGTAAATGAACAAATTGTTAAGCTTCTTATTCACTTTGGGGGCTATTTCAATCTGTGATGTAAATTTCCTACAAATAATTATTTGAATGTAAAATTTCAATTTGGGAGCTGTTTAATTCTGATAAACATTTTTTAGAAAAAAATTCACCAATATGACGACTGAAAAAGTGATGGACAAAAATGTGACTTAGTGACTTTTGTTGAGTATAACTGTGTCCAAAGTTACTACTTCGTATAATATAGTGACTATGATATAAGCTTTGAGAAAATTCCTTATATATGACTAAAACATAAACAAAATGCACTTATAGGACTATCATTTTCTTTTTCATAAAATAAGACTTATTGACTTCTAATAAAGGAAGTTTTATACTTTTAATGGGATGATATAAGCCTTATTTCGAGAATAAAATACATGTAGTCTTATTTGTGCATTTTATTTAAGTTTTAATCCTAATTAGAGTAATTTCTAAAGCTTTTTTTAAAACACAATTATAGTCACTAAAAAGTTACTAAGTCACATTTTGTCCACGACTTTTTATTAATAATATTTTAGAATAAATCTCATCTTTTTAATAACCATTTAATATATATCTCCACTATGTTACTCAACCTATTTTCGAATTAGAGTCCATCGTAAGGAATTAGAGTCCTAATGGTATAAGCTGTATGTCCAAGTTAGAGCTCTAATAGATTTAAATTGAATAGGCACCCGTCTCTAATTAGAGTCGGTATATGTTTCTTACGATTAGTTACGGATAACATGCCGAGCATAGAAGAGATTTAGTCCAATTGAGTTCTCTATTTTTTCTCCTAACGGGTTACTATATATACTTTTGTATAATACGTATTAAATTAATGTTATAATCATGGTTGTTCTCCAATCAATGAATGACACATCTGCATTTTATAACTCAGTTTTACTATTAAAACAATAGATGGGAGAGTCGGGAGGGTTATACATATAACCGTACTTGCCCGTATGATAATTTCTTTGCCACGTAACTGTCTTTTACCGCTAAAAAAATTATTCTCTCTCATAAAGAGGTGGATTTGCAAAGGAGACACTATCATACATTGCAAGAGAACATCCATGTATACATACACATACAATGAAATGACATTGTAGTGAGAACATTCACATACACACACAATGAAATGACATTGTAGTGAGAACATCCATATACACACACAATGAAAATAAGAAATCTCATCCTTTTTAGGAGTTCGATAAATAATTATAACAAATGAAATTAAAATATAACTAAACATGCGGGCACAAGCCGGTAAGGGTGCAAGCACGTATACAATTGTAACCTCCCCGTTATCTGTAAAAATAAAATGAATATTTTCCAATTATTTTTCGCCATGTACTGATTATACCATCAGTGCGAGCCTCTATTAAATTGGCCACAATTGCCACTGAAACAACTATCAATTTTTTAAAAAGTCACAAATATCTTTGGAACGATTTTACTAGCAAAAAATTAAAGTTAGCTATATGACATCACATTTTTTTTTTTAAATTATCAATATGTCGCGGGGGAAATGAATCAGGATGATTCAAACTAATGTCCGTTTCATACTCCCAACACTACTCCACTTTTCACTTCCTCACTCTTTTTGTCTCGGGTACCCTTCTATCCTCTAAGTTAATACACCATTTTCATTATACTCCGTATTTTATTTTCTTGCCTTTCTTGATCAATACTAACTTTGATCTAAACAAGTTTCATGATTCCTCAATCTTCATCCTTTTCCGGTCATGAATTTGCTAAGCCTCTTAATTACATCCATGAATTCCAGGGATTGCAAGATCCTGACAGATCCAACATATATTCAAAATTCCATATTCTCAAACACCGGTTGAGAATAAGGTCATTTTTTTTAAACCTCACTTGTTGTTTGCTAAGCCTTATTTACATCATTTGTGATGGAGCCAAAGACTTATTATTTTTTGATTTAAGAATATGATGAAATAAAACAAAGTGTCTCATTAAGTTGTCTACGTTTTTTTGTTATGAAGCATCAATGAGTTCATCCAATTTTTGACACGATTTTCATTATAAGTCATCCGGAATGCGCAACTGAGATGATAATGTTTGCTAAGCCACCTTAGGATGAAGAATTATGCTAGTAGATGAATGTGAATTAGGAAAGACAACCTGATGAATTACATAAAATTCGGCATGATCTATTTTTGTTGGCATCATCATAAATTGAGATTATTTTTATGATATTTCAAATAAAACTTATTATTGTATAATTCGTGGAAAGATAATTTTATTTTATACAGTATGAATTTTGCCAAATAGAAATGTATTGAGGGACAACTCTCATACACAATTTTTCTAAAGAAAAAAAGGACATAAATTTGGCTACCCGGGGCCGGGATATGAGACGGTCATTGACGCGAAAAAGTTGGGATGCGGAGTAGTATTTTTTATTAATTACATCAGACGACGACAGCGCGCTAGAGTGATCTATGGAAGCTCCGAAGTCACAGAAGCCGATTCTTCTGATTTCTCTGCTTATATTTTCCGGCATTTGCGTTAGAAACACTCTCTCAGAAGGAGTCACACCCGAGGAAGCTAAAGAGCTCCGAGATGAGGTACTTCTCCATTGGTTTAACTTACTTCTTTATTCACACTAAGATCAGATTCAAACTCAATTCAAACTGTTTCTTAAAGATCGATGAATTTATCTGAATAAGGGACTTGCCAATACCTGCAATGCATTTGAACGAGTTCATTAAAACTCTTGCCAAAATTTATTCCTGTAGCATGCTAGGTGGGCGACGGGTTAGAGAAATTCAAACAATGTTTGGATTTAAAATTTGTTAATGGAAGCCAATATGCTGAGGAGAACAAGGTCCTAAATCCTCTCAAAGAGCTGATTTTTTTGCAGTTAGGTCACGAAAGAGTGATGTTTTGATAATCATTACTTTTTTGATATTTCAAGATGATCATTTCGATTTGAGATTCTGGGATTGTAATTTTCCATTCATCTTTTCCATATATCATTTAATATTCCATTCCGTATATGATCATTTGTGATATCTTTTTCTTTTATCTTTTTATCTTTTCTTTATCTTTTTTATGGTGATATGTTATTTTTATCTTTTAACTTTCTTATGTTGTTTTATCTTATATTTATCTTTATCTTTATAAGATAAAGATGAAGAAAAAAAATTATCTTTATTTTTATCTTATCCTTTTTATCTCACTTTATCTTTTTATTTTTCTTATTTTCATGATTTACCCCAAAATCTTTTGAGAATATGACGTTTTTGTTGTATTGACTACTATATATTGCGGAGGAAATTCATTAGTAATGTTTATATATCATCACCTTGTTCGTTGTTCCTTCTGTATCAAATTTGCTGTACCATTGGAAATTTTAAATCAGATATATTGGAAAGGGAAAAACTTCTGGTAAAGTTGCACTTCCCCCAAATTCACTTTCCCAGAAATCTTGTGTTTCATAGGCTGTGGAGTATTTGAGAAGCTTTTACTTTAATCTGTTTCTTACAAAAATCATTTGCTACATTTCTGATTTTCGTTACATATTGGGCTATCTGTATTACCTTAGTAATAACAAATTCTAAATTCTGAAGAGACTGGTGCTATTCCTAGTGTAAGACTTCTTTTTGTGGTTTAGGTGCGGGAAATGTTTTATCATGCCTTTAATGGGTATATGGAGCATGCTTTTCCACGCGATGAGTTAAAGCCTTTATCATGTGAGGGAGAAGATACACTTGGTGGCTATGCCTTGACACTGGTAAGAGAATTGCTCAGGTTATTATAAAATGATATGCAAGCACATGCTTTCAAGCTTAGTGAAATTTAAATCTAATGTAGCCATTATATCCACTGCTTCAGATTGATTCATTGGACACATTAGCTTTGCTTGGGGATCAAGAGCGTTTTACTACTTCTGTTGAGTGGATTGGTAAAAATATCCGATTTGATATTGTGAGTATTGACATGTTTAAAGAAGACGTTTTGTGTGGAGCTTGTTGATAAAACTAAAACCTTTGAAATGATTCAAATTCCTTTGATCTATGGATTTCCAGTTTCATATCTAATGAAGAACAATGGTTATTCTTGTCTTACGAAGCTTTATTCATGGTTTCCTCTCCTTTTGTATCATACTAACATACAACAGCTGGCGGTGGGCCTCATGGGAGGGGGGGGGGGGTACTGGGATGTATATTTTACCAATCTTATAGATATAACATAATATTGATGCTATAATTATGTTTTGACTTTTATTAGAAATATTGATTCTTTGTTGGTTATTTCCATGTCGTATTCAATTAAAGGGTTCTTGGGTGACATGAGGTGTTATGCACGTTGTGTTCATAATGATGTCTCATTTTCTTTTTTCGAACAATTAAAGTTCTGACTGATACATGTTTACATGGTAATGACAGAACAAAACAGTTTCTGTTTTTGAGACTACAATTCGGATTCTAGGAGGCCTGCTTTCTGCTCATCTCATTGCAAGCGATTACAATACGGTATTAGTTATTACAAGCAAACTGTAAAGCAGCTATCCATCCAGTTGTTTTCTCAAAATTTTCATGACACAGTTACATTTCCAAGGTCATTAATATGCTTTGATCTGGTAGGTTTGACACTTCAGTAGGTCAGCCAAAATAAATTTCATGTCCAATCTTAAAATTGCAGGGAATGAAGATCCCCTCATATGAAGATGAATTGCTTTATTTGGCTGTGGATGTAGCGCAGAGAATGTTGCCTGCATTTGATACTCCTACAGGTCTCTTGCCATCTGTTTAACGGTCATGCTAATGATTGCTGAATTGTAAATTTTGGAAGCACTCTCATCTATTTATTTCATTTGCCAATTTTGTTTTCAGATTGGCTATTCCATGTATTCCTTTTTAGCTATTATTATATTCTATGATTCTATCCCAACAAAACACTTAATTTCTAATTGTTATTCCCTCTGTCCTAAAATAAAAGTTACAAACTTTTGGGTACATAGATTAAGCAAGTGGGATAAAAAACCTAAACAACCCTCCCCAGTTACTGTAGCACTGAAAAATTTTTAAATTTGGAATGGTAAAAATGTAGATTTAAGTAAAAAGAAAGTAAAGTTTGAATTGTATGTAGGATTATTTGCCAAAAAGGAACTGTAACTTTTATATAGGACAGCTCAAAAGGGAAAGATGTACTCCGTAACTTTTATTTTGGGATGAAGGGAGTAATATTTTAAATGATACTACTACTTACCAAAAATGTTTGCCATATTGACTTTTCTTGGTCAATGATGGGAAACTTTGGACAATGATTTTAATGATTATATTTGTATAATAAATATAAATTTTATATTTTTATGAAAATATTTTTAATAAGGAACATTTTAAACAATTTTCATATTCAAAATATTTTCGTATTAAAAAATATCATTGATCAAAGTCGACTACCATTGACCAGGAAAATTCAATTTGGCAAACCTTTTTGGGACGGAGGGAGTAATTTTTTATTCTAAAATTGAAACAACTTCAGCGAAAATGTAACTAGCAATGAGCTAATTTAACTGTTCTGCTATACACATTCGTTAGAGACTATATATAAAAAACATTTCTCCAAACATGCAATACTGTGCAAACCCTTGGGAGCATGAGACATGGTAAAATACTATGTCTTCGAACTTGTCCCTTAATGTAACTGCTAACATGGTGTGTATAAATTGTGATGCAGGGATACCTTTTGGGTCTGTGAATTTGTTGCATGGAGTTGATGATAATGAAAGCAAGGCAATGATTTTCCCCATATTCTTTATTAGTTTTTTTTCTCCTTAAAATCATTTAAATTGGGTGGATTGACACCAATGGATAATATTATTCTTCACATTGGCATGTTGATGTCTCTCTATTGAAATGCTGAATAGTTTGTGACATAAGTTACTCCAGAAAATGCAAAGCACACAATATGTGGGGGGACCAACCTACTATCATTTTTATATGTTATAGTACATTCATAGTGAAACTTTATACCCACCTATGTACACTTGGATTCAGTGTAAAAAAGGAATCAGGGGATTCATTTTCATGAGCACATGGTGCATGACACCAAAGAGTGGAATTGAAGATATTTGGTGTTAAGACTCACTTGTTATTGTTGAAGAGTAAAGCGCTGTGCAAATAATTTGCAAAGACCTGACATTTTATTTGTTCTACACTTCTACTCTGTGTATGTGGTATACCTGGATTGAGGTGTGTATGTGCATATCCTATAACTAGATTTTCTTGGGTTCTAGATAACATCTACAGCTGGCGGCGGAACTCTTATATTAGAATTTGGTGTGCTTAGCCGCTTAACAAACAATGCTGGTTAGTACATCTGCAATTTGATTTTTATCTTACACTTTGTACTCCACTGTGGCACTGTCAAAACATACCTTTTTTTTTCTTGTCAGGTTCTAGTAAGAATATATCATCAACATATTTATATATCACATTATATAAATTGAACACTAAATTTCTGGCTAGAAGTTTAGTTTCACTAGTAAGCATGTGATATAAATTAGCTTTATGAGGACACTAATGACCTCAGTTTCATGAATATATACTGACAAACCCTCTCTTTTCTAAAAAAGATCTCGGATGGTTACGTTCTTCTTCTGGTGATTTCTAGTTAGACGGTTAAATGTATTGATAAGCATGTGATTTTGAGCAGCTTTATAAGGATAATAATCAACAGTTACATAGCTTTTATTTATATGCTCTATTAGAAGGAAACAAACGTTGGAGTTAAAAGAACTGGAACGAATGGCATTAAATACGGCAAAAATGATTAATACGAATTACAATCTAAATCTAATTATAGTAGGAAGACCATCTATGTTCCCTGTAACATTTCGTTTTAATTGTTTAAAAGGACAAGGTTATTTCTAATGAATGATAAAATAAAAGTGGTTTTTGGGAAGATACAAACTGATGGGTAGTATTGTTTGCATATATGTTGCAAAGTGAGCACATTGTATTCGCTTCTCATCCTTCTTCACTCATTATCTCTCTAACTCGCCCTTTAATTCATTTTGGAGTATTTCTAATACCTCTTTCAATGTATATCCAGTTTTTGAACAAGTTGCAATGAAAGCGATTCGGGGGATATGGGCTCGCCGATCAAAGATTAATTTGGTTGGTGCACATATTGATGTTTTTACTGGTGAATGGACACAAAAGGTCTTATTTTTTATGCTAACCATCTTTCCATAGTACTGTTTACTTCTATAGTATGCAATTTTATGGGTAATAATGAATTATAGTTGAAACCTATGGCATGACACATGCTGGTGGGTAAATTACACCCGCAAGACAAGGATTGTTTACAACACTTAACATTGGTTCCTCATATGCGGTTCTCTTTTGTATAATCATGCATTCAAAGTCTTTACAAAAACCGTCATGACTCGTGTGAATGATCCGAAGCAAAGTGTCCTGCTCATTGCTGAGCCAGGTCACCCACCACCATCGACTCCACCTGTGCTAGTTCCGACCAAATTAGAGCAATGGTTAACCAAGTAGGACAATGGTCAAGGAAAGCAAAAGGAAATTCACCATAAAAGCCAATGAAGATAAGGACTGAACACTTTCATATGCTAATGGAGTTAACGTCTCCAAAAAATCCAAGCCAAACCCCAAATTTATGCACATTTACCCCTTCCTCTCACAGTTAAGCACTTAAGCCTGCAACATTTTCAGCACATGACATTTGGTTCTGTTTATGACTTCATGGACAAACCTTTTCTCAACATTCTTGCCAAAGCAATTGCTAAATCAACGCAAATGACCTGCCCTCATGACTGACATAGCAAGAACATCACATTCGCATAATCGCATCAACTGTCCACAACACGCAGGAAATCAAAGCTCTTAGACAAGCATTAGGTGGCCCAACAAACCGCATTATACTAACTTGAATTTTGTCTTTGTTTTTCATCATTGAAGGCCAGTGGATATGGCTATATCGTTATGAACTTTATTTTCACAACACTCCCACTTCGAACTAAGCAAAACTTAGGTATTACCAAGTGATTTGAGAGGATCCCCAAATGTTATGGTCGATCTTCATAGAATTTTGTACACTCATTTGGATTTCTCTGCCTCTCTGGTATTATAAACACAGTCAACACAGATCATATCAACACTCTATGGGTGGACAAACTATTGATAAGGGTTATTCTTCAACCATAGATAAGTCTATCAATTCTTATTCTGGTAATTTTGCAAGCTTCAGTTCCCCAACAACTATACTAGTAAAACCTTTTCTTAAGTTAGGAGAAGATGTAGATGACAACCGACAGTTCACTGAAGCCATGAGCAGCTTATGGCCAATAGTTCAGTACAAAACCGTATGCAAAAGCCACTCAAAGATGTTGCTCACAGGTTCAAGGTGCCACAATTGTTGCTGCTGGCAAATTGCAGACGCCTGCTCCTTGCGAGTATATCACCAACGAATTTGGATCCCTTGATTAATAATTGCCCATTGAGTCCTGCAAAGCACCCAAGTTTCAAGAATCCTTATTATGGACTCAGCACGTTTTCAATATTGGTGTCTTTGGAGAGAATAGTTTTATTAAATGCATCTTCAATTTGCCTATTATAGTGTCCGAGTTTTCAATAGCACAAAATGAGTTCTTAATGAAATGGATTACATGCATTCCGCACATAATTCCAAATGGTGCATTGCAATGCATATTGGGTTTTTTAATTAATGATACTATTAATCGCGGAAAGTGTGTGCTACATAACCCATGAGATTACTTCCCTTCAAGCTTTTAGTACTAGCTTTATGTCTTGGAGCAGTGTAATGATCCTCCTCCTGTTCCTTTTTTCTTCACTCTTTACTTTTTGTTCTGTCTCTAAATGTGATCTCCACTTTCCTTTGAAGGAAACCATTGTTTTTCTCTCCTAAACAAATTCCAATCACGCTGTTTTTGACTTTCCTAAATTTTGTGCCAAATCAAAAGAGGAGAATAACAATGAAACATGGTTTGGTTCTGTTACTGACATAATGAGTTGTCCTCTTTTGGGAAATCCAGTACTTAAAGCCTTGCTGAAAATCATCACAGCTCTTGAGGTAATTCTGACCAAGTTAGAAAAACCTAAGAAATAAAAAATTACATAAGGAAAAAACGAGGGATAAATTCATAATAAAAGCTAAGGGACTTTGGGGTCTTACAGAAGTCCAAACCAAAGAAGTTCGGGATCAAAGTAGAATCGCCACCAACCCACAAATACATATGCATTCATTCCCTTCCCTTCACAATTAAGATCGTGAGTTTTCAGTACATAGTATGGTATTTGAATGAGATAAGAATTCTTTGACATTCCCTACTATATAAAGTAAGTCTTCTAGATTTGACTTTCCAATTAATGAGAGGGTGATAATTGTGAAATGTTTAATTGAGTTTTGCTCATCAGAGTTTTGCTCATTAGAGTTTGATGGATACTTGTGTATTTAGATGTTGTAATGTTCTTTGATATTTTAATAATTCATGATTACTGAGGAAGAAGGCGAGCCTTGGTGCACTGGTAAACGTTTGTGATTGAGAGTTCAAAGGTTCAAGTCTTGGGAGCGGCCTCTTGTCAAAATTTGACCGGGGAAGGCTTGCTCCTTATACACTCTTGTGGTGGGACCCTTCCCCGGACCCTAGCCTTGCGGGGATGCCTTTGTGTACCGGGCTGCCCTTTTTTATGTTTACTGAGGAACCAGCAGGGAATATCTCAAGTATCATCCATGTACTGGCTATTATATTGGTGGCTTCAGCAATTCAGCACTTGCTTTTATCTTGATTGTGATCTTCAGAGCTAGCAACCTTTTTATTCCCTTTTTTGCATTCGTTGACTTATCCTTGTAAACGTTGTCTTGCTTTCTTGCTTTGTAGGATGCTGGAATTGGTACAAGTATAGACTCCTTCTATGAGTACCTTTTGAAGGTGATTTTTCTAAAGATGACTAATAAATTACCCCATTCCTCTATCCAATTGATAAACTGTTTGAGCATGGATAATGTTGTAAAGGCCAGCCTAAGTTGCCACCTAAGCTTCCCTTGAATGAGGCGGAAACTTAAATCAGCCTTCTTTAGGCGTTGGGTGGACTTGGAGCTCCTAAACACATTTAACAACTATATTATTGGTGCACTCTGTTTGCCGGTATTTTTGTAAAAGTACTAGACCTAAGTTATAATAATATATATTTATATTTTAAAATTAGGTATTTTTAGGGTGGGGCGAAATAATTGGGAAATAGCAATAAATGCAAGAAATCTTCAATCAATCATCATCATGTAATCATATAATAGTAAATAATAGAGATTAAATGGTTGGAGGTCTTCCCTCAGGACATCAAAACATTCTCTATAAAGCCATCTCATCTCTTATTCCCTCAACATAGGATCCCATTTAAAAGATCTGGTAGGCTGATTTGGGGTGGGGGGGGGGGGGATCAGACAGTTGTCCTGGTGAAAATAAAGTTGTGAGATGCTATGTCCTTTTTTCTGAAGGAATGTGATACAGTTTGCAACATTTTACTTATGCCTTGTTTAGACAATTCAAACTGGGTTTCGTTTATTTTTCTACACAAGCTCGGTACAACTAAGAATTTGGCAATCATTTGAAGTTCATAACAAACCTTCTAATATCTAATTTTTTTCCTGCTACCGAACCTCCAAAGACAGACATTCTTCTGTCCATTTTTTGTGGAGATGATGATTTATGTTACTGTAGATCTGAAACATTGCAAGTGTTATAAATTCCATTGTCATACATTTCAAAAGCTACTGTCTTGTATTCTCATTGTAGTTGTTTGCCAGTTACTATTACAAAATGCTAAAATTCAATCCAAAAGTTTATGTTAGGATTTTTCATTGTGCATACTGCATTCTGAAGGTTCCTTACCTAATTTATTCCTAATTGACTATTAAGGCTCATATATTATTTGGAGACAAAGAGTATCTATTCATATTCCAGGAAGCATACAAAGCTGCGATGAACTATCTATATAGTGACCCCTGGTAAGTGTTGATCATTTAAGTGTCTGCAGTGTAAGATCTTTTATACATTATGAATTGCTAGTTTTAGAAAAGTTAATTTTTAATGGATAATTGTTATTTTTTCCACCAATATAAAAACTCCTAGTTCTTTATTCAGCTTAGTTTTTCCCTCACCTTTCTACTTTTCTAGGTATGTAGAAGTAAATATGAATTCTGCTGCTCTTGTATGGCCATTATTTAACAGTCTGCAGGCGTTCTGGCCAGGTCTCCAGGTAATTGTTTTATGACTACTTTCAATTACATAAACAGAATACCATTTTATTTTTATTCGAAGCCCTATATTTTGATAAGTGATTGGTATTTGAAAGGTTTTAGCTGGGGACATTGAACCTGCCATTCGAACACATGCTGCTTTCTTTAGTGTCTGGAAAAAATATGGATTTACTCCAGAGGGCTTCAATCTTGCCACACTCAACGTTCAAGTATCTTCTTTGCTAGCTCTTACAATCTCTACTTACTTTATTTAGTAGTTTTCTGTTTATCAAGAGCTTGGCAGTTGGCACACAATTATATTAATCAAAATAGTCACACTTCGATTTTTTTTGGTACCATTAAGTACCAGATATTTTTTGATGTTTCATTACTTGAACTTACATCCTTCTTGGATACATAGCACCTGAAATATTTCATTGGGATAGAAGTTGCACAATCCACAAAAGGGGAGTGTTATCTCACAAAGGAAATATGCCTTGGACATTCTTGAGAAAACATGAATGCTAGAGTGCAAACCCATCGACTGTCATATGGATCCCAATGCTAATTTTTTACCAAAACTGGGGAGCCATTTCTGGTCCAAAAGAATGTGGACAACTAATTGGGTCTTTAAATCATCTCACAATCACCAAATTAGATATCTCATACATGGTTGGTGTACTTCGTCAATTCTTTGATGCTCCTGACAGTTCTAACTGGAATTCAGTAATGCAAATCTTGAGATATATTAGAGTGCCATAGTCAGGTTCTCCAGTAGATAGACGTTACTCAATAAGTTGTTACTAGATCTACTGCAGAAACTGTCTATCGTTCAATGACGTTAGCTACTTGTGAACTCATATAATTAATGCATTTACTTCAAGAGCTACGATATGGGCCTGTACCACACTCAAATGACATTTTTTGTGACAACCAAACTGCACCCCACATTGCCTCAAATCATGTGTTCAATGAGAGAGAAGTAGATTGGATTCCAATGTCACAGATCTGAGAAAAAATCTTATCTGGATGCATTGTTACATGCAGCTTCTATCCATTGGGCGACATGTATTATATATATAAACCATTGAGAGGCCCTAAGATTGACTACATTGTAGCAAGTTTAGGAACATATGATGTATTTCCTCTTCTTGAAGGGAGTGTATAATATTAGTAATCCGTATTAGTATGTTGCCCTACCTTAATGGGTTTAGCCTAATTCTAAGCAAAATAAGCTCTCCTTATACTGTAGCTTATGGTTATAAGTAGGGAACCTTTTTATTCTAAACATAATGTTAATAAACAAGTCAGATTATCTCTAAATTTTGCAGTAACTATGGGCACATTTATATGTTTATTTGTTATCAGTGAGGTTTTGGAAGTTGAATCTATTTTTCTAAGCACCTTTGCGCTTCATGTATTTTACATCCTGATTTTCTATTTGAGAAAATGGAGGGTAAATCAAACAGAGTGCTGATTTGTCTCTGTCCCTTATTATCTTCTATATTCTGTCAAGATCTTTAATGAGAGTTGGAGACTTGGGCAATGAATGAAATTAGAAACAGGTAGGCAGTGTGTATCTATAGGATGTGCTAGGCTCTTTTATGACATGTAGGAGGCAGTAAGTTGCAGGTCTGAGACTTCGCGGTTTATGCTTATTTGTACCCCAGGTCTCCATGTGGTGTTTGTATCATTGATAGCTGTTAATTTTTCTTATATACTACGTACATAGTAATTTTTATGACTTATAAGCATGGCTGTTTGAATACTAAGTGATAGGGTGATGACTGATGAGAGGTCGGATTTGGTAATTTAGTAAGGAATTATCCTAGGCTTACTTTGTAGACTAAGAGAGGAATAGCGTATTGTGTTGACATATGGTCTGTACATTAGCTCCGTTCCTATTTATAACAGAGGTTTAAAAAGTGGGCAAGGCCCTGTAGAACATTGGCCCAGAAGAGAAGAAGAACTGAGGGAGTAAAGAGCTTTTAATTGCTTGAGAATTTCTGTATCGAAATTTAGAAGAAGACTCATTGCTCTAGTCTCAAAAATGAAAAGAGTTGTAAGTTGATGTGGATACTAATAAACAATAATGAAGATTGGGAGGATCTGTAATAAATTTGATACCAATAGCCCAATAGGTTGATTATTAAAATAGATGACTAGATATTTTCCCATGATGGAGTCATTGAGACTGAATCTGGGCTGTTGGTTTTTCTTGCGGTTCCTGACTTTCTGCTAGGCCGTGAAGGAGAAACGGTGAAGCTGCGATTCATGCTATGGAACGGTTCTTTAGGCCAGATAATTTTTGATAATTTCGAAAACACTTCCTGGACAAAATAGTTTTAGCTTTACAGGATATGAGTGAAAATAATATTTGATGCAGTAACGAGTATACTTTTTAGCTAAAAAAAGATTTTAGACGGTAGGAATTATTTTTGAAGTTTGAGAGGCCATGCAACATGACTCGAATGCATTAAAATTTCAGGTACTGATTTAGAAAAAGTGTAACGAATTAGAACCCTAGAGACCTTGCAAGTATATTAACAAATCCACTATCTCCAGAATTCTAGCCTACTTTTCTTGCGATGCTCTTTCACATTTTTGTGAAACTAGATATTAGTGGAATTAGATAATGTTTGAAGCTGCAGCACTTGCAAAACTACACCATTATTTTTTAACATGAAATGTGACTGTTTGCACAAGTTGGTTAACATTTATCACTTCAACAACAACAACATCCAAGCTTTACTCCCAAAAGATTTTGAGGTCGGCTAATGTCCATGTTATCAGAGCCAAAAAGATAAGAAAGAAAATAAAAATCAAAAGATAATGTAAGATAAAATGGATAAGATAAAAATAACACAGGAACATAAGATAGATAAAAGATAAAAGATATAAACAAACATAAAATAGATAAAAGATAAAAATAGCATAAGAACATATAAAGATAAAGAAGATAAAATATAAAAAGAGAGATAGGGAAAATAGATAAAATAGTATTTTTGTAAGTTCTTAGATATTTTTGTATAAATAGTAAGCTAATGTATTTTTTTTAGGGATATGCGTACTTGCAAGTTGCAACCTTTTTCATCCTAATATTTGACTTTGCATTCCATATTTTATTTTCTGCATTTTTGCACCTAGGTTAGACCAAAGTGGATTATTTCCATTACAGTTTGCACCCATTTTAGACTTTGAATCCTATTATGTACTTTAATATTGACTTTGAAACCCCATTTGGGTGCAAAGTAAAAAGTAAAGCATGTGATGCAAAGTCAAATATTGGATAGGCATGGGGCGCAAATGCCAAATATCTCATTCTTTTATATGCTTACAGATGAATGAGCTTTAGCTTTCTTGTATATATTTGTAGATTGATGACTTCTGTAGAATTTTCGTTTGCATTTTATTATTATATAAATATAGTCATATTTGATTGTTTGTCTCAGCCAGGTCAGAAAAGTTACCCACTGCGTCCAGAATTAATTGAGAGCACGTATTGGCTTTATAAAGCTACAAGGGATCCCAGGTTGGTTTTATGCGTGTTAAAGTATGTTTCCTCACAAAAGAAAAAACGTTTCCCCTACGTGCATGCTATATTTTAACTATCCACTTTTATTTAAAAGATGGCTCAACTTTTTCGCTAAGATCTTGATGTTCTTTCTGATCCAAAAACTTAATCATTCTAACCCTTGATGTAGATATCTTGATGCTGGAAGGGACATACTTGCAAGCTTGCAGTATGGTGCACGATGCACTTGTGGATATTGTCATATATCGGATGTCGAGTTTCACAAACAAGAAGATCGCATGGAGAGCTTCTTCTTAGCAGAGACTGTAAGAAATTCACTCTCATATGTAATCAGACATGAAACCTTGGGTTTCTTGTTTTATCTTTTCGTATAAGTATGCTTAAAGAATTGTAGTAACCCTTTTTTTTTCCTTTCACATTTGAGGCAAGATCTCCAGGAGTATACTTGGATAATGAAACAAAAACAATCGCAAAAGCAACATAAAATGGTTGAATTTTCTCAAAAAATAACTGCTTACGTTTAGAACTTTATAGCTTCTAGTAATAGATTTGGGATTCCGTGTTTGAGTTCTCTAATTTAATAATGTTGTGCCTCTGTTTTTACAATGAATGCTTATTTCATTATTTCACCATCATATGTTTCTACAGTTCTAAAATTTTTGCAGGTGAAATATTTATGGCTACTCTTTGATTTGGCTGCTGGTCCAGATAACCTAGTTGAAAATGGCCCATACAAGTAAGCTCTTACCTGCTGTATTTGTATTTGCCAGAAAATTCTTTCACAATCTTGCTCTTCTTTCTGCAGTAAAGCCTAACTGTCTTTACTCATTGTACTCTGGTGGAATTGCTTTTGCTTTGCAAGGTACATTTTCAGTACTGAAGGTCACTTGTTGCCTGCTAGTCCTCGTATATCTCTTGGACATGAGCATTGCTCATACCTTGGAGCATACTGTAGAAACAAAGATCATGAGCCAAATGTGCACACTTCATACACTGTAGAAACCAATTATACTGGATCCTATCATCCTTCCACTCCCAGTTTCTTGTCAAACAACCGCTATAAAAAATCTCCACCCATGTCTGGCATGGCTAAGGTCGGAATCTTATTGCACTAACATTTTTAGCATTACATCTTCTCCAAACTTAAGACTCATCATATGGATCTTACCAACATAAACAAAAATTTTACTGACCTAATCTGGCTTCATATTGATGTCACAATTACAAAGCATGATGGTGGGAACTTGTAGGACAAAAATGTTCTAAATCATTATTAAGCTGCAATGCAATATTGAATAATTATTTTAAGTCACATTTGAACTGCCCGTCATTATCTCTCATGCATCTTCAAATTGACAAAAGAACAGCATATTAAATTGTTAGTTTCCTTACATGATGTTTCCTTAATAGGGACTCTGCCTGGGTCTTACGCATGGGCAAAGATATGGCATATCATATGTGACCTCTACGGATCCGATTGTAAATGAGGAGCATTCAAGCCAAACGGAGAGTGCTGCAACTCAGGGAAATTCATTGGTACTAGTTACTAACCCTGATGTTGACGACTCTCAAACAAGTGCTCAAACTAACCAGGACAGTGAAATGATACTTACTGAGAGCCAAACAGAGTGACTTTTCGTGAGAATGAATAAGATTGGGGTAGCTGGTTAAACCTTTCAAAGAAGGCAGCAAAAGATAACTTTGGAAGGAACCTATCATGCCAAAACTAGTAAGCACAAGGCAGACTGTTCGAGTAACAGATCATACTTGTAATATCCAGCTCTCCAATACTGGGTTGTAGATCTCTTTCTGATATAGAACACCATCGAGATCTGAGGCTGAGAATTGGCTTTTGCTCATCACAGGGAAAAATTTGCAACTATTTATCCTAGTCGCTACCCGATTCTTTAATTTCATTATAGATTTTTGTACCGCAGTGACTTATATTCTTTTGTTTAGGTGATGACTGGTAGATTTGTTCAGTCATCTGATGTCTGATGTACAATGTAACTTGAATAGGTAGGATGCTGGATTACATATTCACACATGGTTGAGATTACAGAAGCGGCTTTTGTACTTTCCTGACAAATTTGAACTCTACTAGATACTTGAAAGTTATTCTCCCTCCATAGATCCATTTCCATGACGGGTGGGACAACCCATGAAGATTCTCTTGATTTTAGATCTGAGTTGTGTGAGTAGTATATTCATTTTCTTTTGACGTAATGGGAGTAGCTTTAGATGGGATATTATTGTCTTTCTGTATGCTAGTAGGTTCCTAGACTGGAGTACTGGACTTTCATTGGTGCAGCAAAATGGAACAAACCGTGTTGGGACAGTGTATTTGGTTAACAAACCGTATTTAGTTATATCGTTTCCACCTGGCCTATTAAAAGCTATGTCATATATGCTTCAAGTAGTTTAATCTTCATGTAAAAAAATCCATTGCTAACAAGACATCCTCTGACTAAATTGCTAATAGAACACTTGAGGAAATAGCATGCAGGCTCTTTATTATTGCAGATGGCTTACAGTCTGAGAGTATCTCCATGTTCCTCAAATCAAATGTTGAGAGTCTGTTACACACAAAAGTTGTTGAAATTTTTTGTGAGACTTGCATTCAAAACAAACAAATATCTCATCCCCACGCTCAGACATACTATATTCACACTTGCACACACATACACCATGTATTCAAAAATACTCCACCTAAATTTTGAAATGGTCAAAATTCATCACGTTTCTCAAGGACATTTGGTTTGGATTTTTACAAGCATGCACCATTATATAGTATAAGGCACGTGTTTTGGAATCTGGAACATAGATGAATGTATTCTTGGAAAGATGAGGCATAGGGGTGTTTGGAACTTTCTATTTCTGCTTCTTTTTTAAAGCAGAAACAAAATCAGAATCGGTTTTCGCTGGTCTCCCCAACTTCTAGAAAAGCTAATTCTAGGAGTAATTGAGTAAATTAGAACTCTAGAATCACTTCTGCACTTTCACCCAAACACTACAACTTTTGCTTTCGCTCTCTGAAGGAGTAGAAGCAGTTTTAAGAATTGGATCTAAACACCTCCATAATTGTAAATAATCAATCAGTGGATCTTCATATATCTATTATGGACGGTGAATGATCCAAGAAAGACATTTATTGGGAGAGTAATTAAAAACACTAATGAAGAACAAAAATTAAAAATGTATTATTGTAATCCGTATTTCCGTATTATTATAACAATAGCAAAAATTTAATAAAAATATCAAAATTGTTCTCGAGTTTTCATTTTTTGATAAAGATTCATTAAGTTTTATTTAAGCCCTAGAATTTGAGTTTTGAATTCCTGTCCGAGTCCTCCTCTGATCGTTTCTTCCTTGGAGTGAAACGGCTCCGTCCGAGTTTCGAATTGGTTCTGTATCATCTCTCCTTGTCTTCGTTTCTGGCCAGTGGCTGCTGTAGCGCGGCCGCGACAAACGCTTGCCACTCGACGCTTGCGACTTAGCGCGGCGCCGATTCCACTCCTATAAAACTACGCTCAATTCCAACTTATCACTATTTCCTTCACTCCCTGCAAACCAATAGCGAACGGCCTTTTTGTTATGTTCTCCTTTTTCTTTATATTCAGATGGAGTCCTTGAAATGTATGGAGGCAGAGGCATTTGTAGAGTATGATGAGATATTTTCAGGGAAGTTCAAAGCTACCTCCAAGGCCAAGACAATCAAGGATTTTGAAGTGTGGTAGCCTCAGAAGTTGGCATTTGAGGTTGCCTTTGACACTGGGATGGAACTGTGAAAACATTGTGGCTCCTTCACTGATTGGCCAGTAACCTCAGGTGGCCATTGATGACATCCTATCTGAACTTCTTCAAAGAACCGCTCACCTGCTTGATGAATCATCTCATGAGTGCTCTCCAGATGAGCTAAAGAAGCTTGCTAGATATGTGAATTGGGCAGTGTCAGCTGCTGTCTGCAAAGCTGGTGCCCGATGCAAGAAAATCCCATTGTAAAAGCACAATTTTAGATCTTGCTTGCGATGAGGACCCTGAATTTCTAATACAGTGTAACATTCCACGTCCTGCGTTCAATATCTGTAATGGTGTTCTGCATCTGGAAAAAAGAATCACTAACCAACTTCAGCATCTTGTGATTATCCCCACCAGGGATAATGCATTTTGTGAATCCATTATGTACTACCTCCGTCCCAAAATACTTAGGCAAGTTCAAAATTTTGACCAATTATATATATTTTTGGAAATTATTTAAAATATAATATTGATATGAAAATGGCCTTTATTAAAAATAATTAAATATAAGTATAAATTTATACGTAGTAACTTTTACAATATTATATTATGCTAATTAAAATCATTTTCCAAATTTTAAGATTTGGCCAAATATGTTGGGACGAAGGTATTAAAAATTACGAATCTATATAAAAATTAATATAATGCATTAAACAACATATACGGAGGAGTTCCTCGAATTGGACTGAAACTTTAATTACACAAACAAGTTTATATTCAAAAGTTGTTGTAGCTTTTTGCATTTCTTTGAATTTCTTTCTTTTCAGATCTTGAGGGCGTGGAAAGCTCTTAACAAAGGTAGCCCATTAAAGATATGTCTCACATCTTATGCAATATCCTTTTGTATATAGTGTGCCACTTACCCTAAAATTGATTTGGGAGCAACACATGACATTATATTATTAAACAATCGAGTTGAGCATATTAACATTGAAGACTCATTGAGCACGATCCTCCAACTCCAATATTCATCCACTATTCATATAACAAGCTTTTATCACATTAAAATTTGGTATTTGCATCTTAGTACTTTAGTGACAATCTCATCCAACATTCACCCACGTACATGCAAGTACTTTTAGGTCTCATTTCGCACCAACTATTGTTGATATTTTGTCTATTTAAGTTGCCAGAGTCCCATACATGTCACAATATTGAGTCCCATACATGTCACAATATTAAAGAGAATGATATGCTAATGTTGAGGATCGATTCTTCTTCTGGCTCAGGTCTCCAACCCTTATGCTATACTCACACACACCGCCTAGGCTAGACTCACTCCACCACTCAAAATGATTACACTCCCAAGCTTCCACACAAAGGGCCTCAAGGAAGGAGGAGAACTCTCAGCTCTCAACTCTCTGGTTTTACTTCTCTCACACAAAGGAAAAAGGAAGGGTCTGCTCTCTTTAGTTTCTCACGCAGGACAAGATCCACAAGAAGAGACTAAGTCTTCTAATAATAGGGTGTTGGCCACTTGACAACTCACGGGTAACACCAAGCCAAAGGGACAGATTGTAGCGGACAACAATAAGGGACCGGCCAAGTAGGAGAGTCAACAGTCAATGATAGGCCACAAATAGAAGACCTAAATAGGTATACCTTAGTGGGAGTAAACATGGGGTGCAAGTCAATAATAAAATAGAAGGGAGGCCTTGGTAGGACCGATACCTCCAACATTCTCCACCTTATTGGTCCTAAGTGGTGTAGAGTAACAATACAAGGTTGTGAGGAGACTCATCATCGCCGGACCATTACAAGTACATCATGCCGATCATACAAGTAATAGATGAGAACCACAAGGTTCCCTTTCGGACCAAGCTTACCATGCAAACCCAATTCACGATGGACTGAACTCTACCAATCGGTCCTCGAGTTCAGAACCAAAACCATCACAATGCTATTAACAAACACGAGGTATGTTAATAGACCACACAAGCAAGCTTCAGAGAGAAGTTGGGGATTCCAACTAATCCAACAACCACACAAAGCAAGTACAAGGAAAATAAAAGAAACAATATTATTTCTATAACTAGCACAAGTAGAGCTCACATAATCACTTGGTATCACATTTTCAAAACATAAAGGAAATAGCATACCAAATATCACAAAGATATTAATTAATAGAGAATTAAGCACATTTAAAGCAAACTCAGATAAAATATAGTCAAACACTTTGCACTTATCATTTCTCTCATGCTCCCTAATGTCTCTATTTCTAATAACATGGCAATCACGCAACTCAAGCATATTGCACACAACAATCATATCATTCTCCACCTTAATAGAAATATTATTTTCTTTATTTTCACCATGAAAATAATTTTCATTCACAAATTTGAGCTCAGTTTCAAGTAAATCAGAATGAACTTCAACAAGCAAATGCTCCACCTCATTTGGAGCAACATCAGGAGAAACAAGCAGACAAGGAAATTCATTTTCAACAAAAATGACATTTCTACTCATCAACACATTGAAGCAAGTTTCACTCCTACACCAAAGCCTATAACCTTTCATGCATTCATGATATCCTAAGAAAACATATTCCTTAGTCCTAAGTTCAGATTTATCATTCTCACGATTCACATAAGCAACACAACCAAACACTCTCAAATTTGGCAAGCTAAGTGGTTCGCCCGTGAACACAGATTTAGGGCTGTTGAGGTTTATTCCTTCAACCCGTGGACCCAACACGTAAGCCCAAAGGTTTCGAATGGAGTGAGTGTATGGTTATCTAGCCCAACAACTATTAGATGAATCAGGAAACAAGAGTAATAGCAGGCAATGTAAATAGGTATTATTAACTTCGTAATAACTCCCCTAAGTACAATCTACTTGCTAACAAAGGCACGTCGGCCGTTCGTCTTACAAGGCAGTTAGAAATGCTGCGAGTAAGAATGCTGAAGCTAGTATGCTAAGAATAGAAAGTTGCCAACCCTTTACAATGGAATAAATGCTCCTATTTATACCCGCCAATGGGCAGGTGGCTGTAGTGACGTGGCAGCCTGTGGACCGCTGGTGTCCCAACTACCAAATCTTTAGCATTAAATGCACTTCCCGCCAGAATCTAGGTTTCCCGCCGGATTAGTGGGGACGTTCGTCCACCGGGAAGTGAGTTGGATTGCTCCAAGGGACCCTTGGGAGATATCGGCTGTTCGTCTCCTGGCCTTGATGGATACTCACCATGTGGACTGGGTTTCCCCCGATGACCGCAGGCTTGCTCTGTGGACGTTCGTCGCCATCCCTGGTGGCCCGTGGTTCTGCTCCTTGTCCCTGCATAGACGTTCGTCGGGATGAGCTGCTGGGCCTGAGTCCTCCAACACCAGACGTTCGTCCATCCTCAGGGAACATGGGCCTGTGGGCTGGCCTAGTGTCCTAACTGGACGTTCGTCTGGCAAGATAGGTTAGTGGGCCGGACCTCGGCTTGGGCCCTTAACCCAACACAAGTCCCCCACTTCTGATGTTCTGAGCATGCGCAGGACATAAGGAAGTATGAACCTCCCCGGAGTAGACGTCCGTATCTTGGTACTTGTGTTTCTTGCACCTGGTGGAAGCGTACGTTCGTGGTCATGGTGCTTGACAGCTGTTG